TATATATATATTATATGGTATACGTAGGGAAACATGTACTCAACAGTACAATATAAGCGAGAAATACGCTTAGGAACGCTAACCATCCTATGAGCACTATAATATATTTCCATGGTGATCTTTTGTTATTCGATTGCACGAGATCGGTATTATCGTCCATATCTGCTTCTATTTTGGCTGTCACGGCTGGGTCTAGAATGCTAACTAGAAGAATTTGTCCAACTCGACTGCGCAAAATGGATATCGTGATGGTTGAGATCCACATGGGTGGCTCAGTAGTCAATTCTTGCAGATGCCGCAAGATACTGGTGACAATGAGAGTAAACGTTGCAATACCAAGAGAGCTCTCATAAAAGAAAACTAAAATAAGAAAAAGATTGAGATTGTTTTCCTTTTTTTCTCTTTGTTTCTCTTTATTACACGTAATTAAACTGAAAAAAATTATCTAAAAAGCTAGCATATCAGATATTTACGAATTAAATATATAAGTGGGTGAATTCATTTTACAGAAATTGATATATTGAAATATTAGTTGCGCAAGATGTTAAGAATTATAGATTTAAGATGAACGATATTATAAATAACGATTTTTTTAAATTATTGTCTTATCAAATATACTTACGTATTTTGGGAATGTTAAAGCCACTTTTTGGTACTTCCCAATGCACGCCATGTATACATAATAAATGACAAATAAAATTAAGATTAGCAATTACCATTCGCTCGAAAGATTTCGGTTCTAACCACAGTGTCATCAGAGTCATCACCATTAGTACTGTGAACATCATGTATAAAATGCATTTTAGATATTAAAATTAATAGAAAAAAAACAATAAAAATTAATTTACTTGTTGAAAATTAAGTTATTATCTATTAACATGTATATCAAATTTAAATTATCAAAAAATTATTTTTACAAAATTTGACCGCTTTTATATGTGCTTTGGATAATAAGAATAGTTTGACAATGAAGTAATATTAATTAAAATTAAAATAAAATAGAACGAACCTATAGCAGGTGATAAAAATACAATGCGAATTATGCCCGAATGACTCCTCAGAATAAAGTGAAAAGAAATCATTTTGATGGTCGAATCCGAATTGTACTTATATCTATTTTCCCATTTTGTTATATAAATTTTCTCTAAATTCCACTCGGTATGTTTTATTTCTATATTTGACTGTAAAATTATTCAATTAGTAAGTAAAGTGTAAGTATTACTAAAAAAATCAATTGTTTTTGTACATATCGTGCAAAGCATATTATCTAGATACAAAAATTAATTTGCTTTCATGGAAAAAGAATAAAATTATACCAAATTCTGGTTAGAAACAAGCTCGATCTCATCACCAGAATGGGACCACGATCCGAATTGTATAGTACAATTTAAGGTATTGTACGGCCACCACGTATAATCTGTGAAACAACTTGCGGTATATTTTGCTGCCACAAACCATCTAACTGTTCCTTGTTTCGAGACCCAACATTTTGAACGTTCATTATTCAATGAGCTTTCTCCAAATTGTCTAAACGTACAAATAATTTTATAAATTCTATTTAAATCTAATATTACATATTCCGTAATTTAAACGTTAGAAGTTAGGAAATATCAAGATATTTTCTACAATCTTAGATTTATTTTAATTTTCCGATATAATCTTATTCATGCTTGTTGAGATTGTACGATTGTTTTTTTGCCAAATGTCAATAGAAATCTTTTAACTGGTATAATACATTATTTGCTATAGTATTTTAATAATATTTAAAACATAATTATAGGAATGGAATTCTCGGAGTCTGATATTAGAAAATTAATATATTTATATAAGAAAGTGGCAGTAGATATTAATATAATTATTGATAAATTTAAATGATAATCATTTCTGAAATTAATTCATTTATATGAATATTTATAATAGTTCAACATCTTAACATTCAGACCGTAGTGGCGTTTCATATTTAAAGTAATGTATTTTAAATAATGTATTTTAAATAATAATAATAAAAATTTTTGATTAGTAAAAGAATATATATCGCTTACCCATTATGCATCAAAACGTCGGGAATCCAAATTTGATAGCCTATTACAGGTATCCATTTAATGTTATCGTATTGTGCAGGATCCCATGTCAAATGCGAATCATTCCACATCTGTCCAAACAAAAATATTAATATCAAACTTAAACTTGCGTTTAGAAACTTACAATGTAATTATTAAAATGAAAGTGTTTCAATTCATTAAAATGAATGTGCATTCAAAAATTATTCATCAATTAAACATCTGAATAATCGATAGATATATCACTTACTTTTCTTAAATACATTAATACTCATTTCTTAAATACATTTATACGAATGTACTATTTCCACGCAATTATGTAGACTTACCATTGACATCCACGTATGCAACACGAACATTTCACTTTCGTGAGTCTAAAAAATAAAGAGGTAATATTTTTTGCAATAAGAATTAATTATTTATAGATTTAATGTCATTCAACATTATTAAGATCATTTCGAAGATGCGAATAAGCATTAAAAATTTGTTAAATTGCTAGTCAATTTAACTCGTGATATTACTGCGATGGTTTAGTAGAGTTATCATTTTTAGACCAAAAAATCATTTCGGTGCGCGTTTCTGGGACTACATACATAGTATATAAATTCACACAAGAATCATATAAGCATTAAGATCTAGTTAGATCCGTTTAAAGCTTTTACTTCTATAATTTGTAAAAACTAAATTACAATTTTAAATTCGATTTTCTAAATCTTGGTAAATTAAAACTAATTTTTTGTCTATTTAAAATTACAAAAAGATATTAATTCTTCACATTTTTTAATATTGCACACATTTTGACTGATATTATTATTATCATAATTTTAATATTATTATTATTATTATTATTACTTACGTATTCAAAGAATTGTGGCTTCAGATAGAAATTCAC